GATATATACTTTAAAAACAAAATACAATAAAGTGCTATTATTTTAAATGAATTAAAGTTCCCCAAAACTCTTATTCTGAGATGTTCAAACAAAGTCTCTCCATATAATTTTTTTTAAAAATAAACATGCAAAATGTATTAATTTAAAGCAGGAGACAAAATGGTTAGGACAAAAAAAGAGGATATGATTTGAAAAGCTTTACATGATTTCATGTTTAAAGAATATAACCTTTAAATAGTAATTTCCCCTCTACTATCTGCTTTTCAGGCAGACTTACTTTTCTCTCATTAACCCACAGTGATATGATGACACTGTAGTCTTACTGTATTTTAGGAACGGTAAGCGGTAATCATAATTCTCAGATTCAGCTTGGTGGACAAATAATTTAGGACTAAGTTGGAAATGGTCCTGATAACCTCCATTAGGCAAGAGTTGCTGTGACAGTGGGAGTCGAGAGGTTGCTGCTATTGTTCTAACTGAATGCTTTGTTCACAGTAGCAAGTGGAAAGCTCCACAATGGACACCAGATTCTTTGAATTTACAGGCTCGAAAACTGGTTCTCAACAGAATTATATTTATCTATAAAATAATTAGCAGGAACACAAAATGGATGGGTTTCACAGAATTGCAGAGAACGTTTGAGAATATTGCAAGGGTTTATCTTACAGAATTTGTCAAAAAAATAGAATTAATTTCTAACTTCTATTTTCACACAGAGGACTAGTTAATACAGGTAATACTCATCTTAGGACCGTTTGTTCAGTGACTGATCAAAGTTATGATGAAGGTTGAAGTTACAGTCATGTAAGGTCTTCACTTAACAACTGCTTATGATGGCAACTGGAATTACTGTTGCTACAGTAAGTGATGTACTCAAGTGTCAGTGTTCAAGTCGTCTACAATCCTTGCTTTTTCTATCACTGTCCTCCTAAGTGCTTCAATGAAATTTTAATGTGGTTGAAAAGTATTAACTTTTTTAGGAATAATCAAATTATCTGTACTTAACCAAATCAAATAAATATAATTAATTTTACATTGAATTATATTAAATGACATTCATTTTTTATTCAGATTGCATTTAACCTTGGCTCTATTAGCCTTGCTCACTAACTAGTCCCCTCAGTGCAGAAAAAGACATGCATCCTTGCTGAGGATTATGATTAGAAGTTTCTTTCCTTATTCTGAAATGTATAAATAGGATGTTCCCAATGGAGGCACACATTTTGAACTAGTCCAAGGCCTTGACTCATGGATTCATTTTTTTTAAATTAATGGCTGAATTCTGCATATTTTACTATTCTTACCTCATAAGCATTTCAGCCAAACTTTTTGCATCTGAAAGGGAAAAAAAGCAGGAGAAATAGAAGCATTATGTAAACAGCTAATTAGTACTTATATTTGCATAATAATCCCCAAACAATCTAATACCGTTACCAGATAGAGGCCTTTATCTTGGCTGGATGTGGATGTGGGAGAGCAGCTTGAATATTTAATCCTTCTAAGTCTGAATTGCTACTAATAGGGAGGTAAAAGACATTGGATCTGGTGAAATTGGACACCACATAAGTATGGATATAGGTACATAAATATGGGGTGGGGCTAGCCTGCCTTGATTGGCTTACTCACTTCAATGGACATAGCTTTGGCATCTACTGCATATAGAGACATGCATCATTTTAAATGAAATGGTACAGCTACACTCTGATGCCATTACAAACTTTCCTATTATTGGTTTATGTGTGTTTGTGTGTATGTATGTATACACACACACATACAGTATGTATATTTCCTATATATATGTATGTATATGTAATTATGTATACATATGTGTATGCATATATACATGATATATGTGTCCTATATATACGTATATGTCTCTGGGTGTGTATGTATATGTATTCACACAAAAAAAACATATATGAATACCAACAAAAAGCAGGATTTAAAATTTAGGGAATAAAGATTACTTAATAAATATGTGTTTACCTATTAACAAGAAGTTTAATTATTTATGACAACTTTTTAGACTATCTGCTATGACTGCGATAGAAGGTAAGAAATTTATATCAATTTTACTAATGTACATTATTCAAGAAGTTTATTTTGATAGACTTTAATTAATTTTATAACACATTATTCTGAAAGCTACTTATTACATTTAATTGTTAATGTCATTTTAATAATTAAGAAATTACACTTTTAATTATGAGCAAAAATTCATATTTACAGAGTCATGAGGTTATTTATTATGTTCATGTGCAATGCAGTACAACAAATATATGGCAGAAGTGTCATATTAATCTATGGTGGCAATAACAGATTTTTTTGCCAACAACCTATGTGAGTCTAATATAATTCACAGGAACAATACATATTGTTAAGGCTGATGACTGTTTAATTAAAAAAATAAGGAATTTAAGTTAGTTTGTAATTAAGAATTGCAATTTTGGGACAGGAAACAGAGGAGAAGATTTGTTAACCTAAAACAGTGCATGAGAGAGCAGAAGACACTTTCACCTCACATATCTTAAAAATAAACTTTCTCATGGCCTATATTGATCAAGACAGTGTAATATCAGAAGCCATATTATAGAAACCAAGGAGTAAGAAAAAAATATGAGGAAAGATGTTCCAAGATCTAAGGCACAGTAAATCACAGAAGCAGATTAAGGAGTGAAAGGATTTAACACAGTTACAAGATAACCCAGTCCAGATTCAGAATAAATCTGAATTCAAAAGGAACCATATGGCAGTTCATGGCAAAGAGTTGTTACTAAGGTCAAACTCAACCCTTGTTCTAGGAACTTTAATTAGCAGGGATTATTTTATTTTTGCTAGATCTTAATGGTTTTAAGATTTGATAGTTAATCAAGGTTTGCTAATTCATCGCTATCAGACAGGTTAGCCAATTTTGCAGGATCCTATTGATTAGCAGTGTGATTTCTCTCTGCTGGCTCAGAGACAGATTGTTCTCCCAAAATAGGCTGGCAGTCTCTTAGGTTCATGTCTTCTTCCTCTTCCTCTGAAGTATACATGAATGCAAGTGATCTTGGTTCCATATAATGCTAAACCATAATGGCTAGGTTTCACCCATCATCCTAAGGCAAAAGCAAACAAATTACCTTATAATTAGCATAGTGATCTATGATCAGTTCAAAAGCTTGCTCCCTAATTAATATTTACCTATATAGAGATAAAGTCAGTATCCAAAGGATACATGGAACAGTTAGGTTACTTCTTTTTATCCAACATCTAAGATATGAATAATCTAAAATTTTACTGGATGTGACATATTTAGAACACAGAATATAAGGTTATTATCAACTCCAGTAACGATGTCCACAAAGAAGCAGCACAATCAAGAATTTAGACATGTTGGAATATTAAATTTAATTATACAATAAACTTCTTCTACTATGTAAAGGAGATATTGCTATAGTTGGAAAGACACAATTATGAGACCCAGCTGCGGTCTTCGCTTTTACTTATTAGGATCTTGCCAGCTATTATTTTGAATTTTTCTGAGATACATTCTCTTGGGAAATTAACAGAACTCCTGCAGTTTTCACTTGAGTTCTGCCATATTCAGCAACATGCACAGTTCATTTTAAAGTAGCTGTTTGGATGAACACCCTTTGGAGACAAGGAAAACACTGTTTTTGCAGCAGTTGGAACTTGGGTTAAATCATCTACTCTGTCCCCTTCCCCAATCAATACTATAATTCTCTTGTTGTTCTGGCAATCAATCCTTTTGTACCTCAGGTAGTGTTTGCTGTAAAAACTAAGAGGAAGAAACACAGAGCTAAAACCGAATCATCAGTAGCCAAGCTAATTTATACATGAAAAACAAATACACCAAAATAAATCTTAGTAATCTCTAAATATTTGCTAGCAGCAACATATAGAAAATGAACTTCACCTGATTCATATACACTGAATTTGCAACCTTTTCATCTACAAAGTTACGAGAAAGGAAAAATTTTCCTGCATAACTACTATTGAAATAATCTGAAATAGCAAAGTGATCATGACATTTTAAAGTAATGTCATAAGAATCAATGGCATAATCTGCATATTTCTATAGGACCCTTTTTATACAGATGGTCCTCAACTTACAATCATTCATTTAATGATTGTTTGAAGTTATGATGGCACTGAAAAAGTGATGTATGACCTTCCTTGCACTTATGACCAATTGCAGAATCCCTGCAGTCATGTGATTTGGATGCTTAGCAACCAGCCTGTATTTATGACAGCTGCAGCATCCCAGGGTCATGTGAACATCATTTGTGACCTTCCCAGAGGTCCCAATCATTAGGGATCTGCTTTCTTTTGCTTTACAAAAGAAATTGTAAAACCAGGTATGATTCAATTAATGACCACATACCTTAATGATGAAAGGTCCAATCCCAACTGTGGTCATAAGTCAAGGATTACCTGTACTACTACAAGAATGTTTGATTGCTGATCAACTTCTTTTTATTCTATAACTCTCTGATAGAATTGGAATGTTACATATTTAGCATGTTACATGCCAAGATAAATCTCTAAATTCTTTAAAATATGCTCTTTTTTATTAATGTTAGAGTTATATTATTGTCTATTGTTGTTACTGCAGCAAACATACCTAATACCCCTGTCACCTATTTTCCAAACAGCAACCCTGTGAGATGGATTAGTCTGAGAAAGAGTGGTCCAAAGTCCCCAGAGCTGGTTTTCATGATTAAGGGAGGCCTAGATTTCACAGTCTTCTACTTTCTAAGCCAGCACCTTAACCAATATACCAAACTCTGCCTACTGGATATGGGAAACAGCACTCTCACTATTTCTATAATATGAGAACCAGCTTAATGACAATTTATTCTATTCTGTGTAAATCTGCACATTTTTATATAGAAACTACAATACATGTAAGGCAATATTTGATGTTGGTTCTTACCTCTGAGTCTTTTCAGTCTCTGTTCCCTCCGTCTCCTTCTTACAACCAGCAGAAGCACAAAAAGCAGCAAGACCCCAAGCAAGATACAGGAAATAGTCACCAGCATCTTTAGCCCTTCATTGGTTGCCAGACCTTCCTCACTTTGGACAACTGATTTAATGAGTGGAGGGATTGTACCTGGAAACAGTGTCATGACATTAGATGCCTATCAACGAAGAGAAAAGGTTGGTTTTTAAGTGACTACGGTGCACAGAAGCTGACCTGTATGTTCCTAAGAGGTTCAATTTATTAGGAAAGCTTCGTCATTTTAGCTTTGCATTATTTTGATGCAAAGTGCTACCAATTGCTTGCATTTGAAAGAAGAGACAAATTAGGCCATATTTATTGTCATGAAAAATGCTGCTTTTCTTCATAAAACTGCAAGCTTCCTTATAGAAATTGTAGGGAACAAAACACGGTATGCCCTTTAATCATAAGAATTAAATTCCGGCCAGAAAAATATTATAGGAGTTATGATATTTACCTCTTATTTGAGGCAAGCATTACTGACTCCTACTACGAATCACAGTTCTAGGCAAAAAAAAGTGAGTTTTGTTGACATTGCTTCATCATGGATTTGTCAAGCTGGAGGAACTTGGTAAAGAAAGGAGAGAAAACTAGGAAGGTTTGCAAAGCCTTAATAGTCTGATCCTCTACAATGAAAACCTATTAAGGTGTTTGAAATTTCCCAGCCAATGGAATTTTAAGATTTTTTTTAAAAAAAAAGAGTTTTTGTATACACAAAAGTCACAATTACTGAGTGTACTGGAAGGAAGGCAGACAATTATGTGGAGTGTGAGTTGACATTTCAGGACCATGCCATAGGCACGTCATACGGAAACTACCGAGAAGCCTGATTGCTCAACAAATGGCTGGCATGGTCAATACGCTAGTCACAAAACTACGATTTACCAGATGGGCAATCATTTTATTTGATCCACAACATCTATCCTACCCTCAGGATAACCTCTATCAACCCACATCTCTTCTTGCCTTTTAGGGAATAATTGGATACTATTCCAGGCAAAAGAACCATCCATTATTTTTATTTTCAAAGGCACTAAGTCTTAATGTCAAGGAAGATATTACTAGATTCTGATTCTTTTCTTGCAGCTTTCCATTACTGCTGTTTTATTCAGAATAATCTTAACGAAGTCAAAGTCAAATGTAATGGAGAGTTCAGTGACTACTAAAGGAGGTTTCCAGACTTACTGATTCTGAAGGGAACCATTTAGCTTGCTCTCACAGTCATGTAGTCATTTTCTTTTTCAAGCATTTCTGATTGTTTTATCTTATTTCCCTTTTATTGTTTAATAAATTTTAAGATGCATAGGCAGGATGGGATGGGCCAGTAGTTGAAAGAGCTGACATATATGCCCTGTGAACCTAATCTGAACTTTTCTTTTTAACAACAAGCAATTCTGAAGCTTGCTCTTCTCTTTTCCCAAAGTCTGTACCCTCACTAACTTAAGGCTTGGTCAGTATGCATTATTATAGTAAAAAAAGAACTCTTTTGAATATGTTCTGCATCTTTGGCATTTGGATAAATGATAAATTAATGGTTCACTATATTTTGTTCAAGAGTGGAGAGTGGAGTAATCTTTTGCTAGTGAATTGAAGGAAGGTTGCAAGAAACAAAATAGATCATTTAAGATTTGCCTCTATACTTAATTATTTAATTTATTTATAAAACCCGTTAACCCATTCTCTATAGTGTTAAAACATCCAAATATCAATAATTATAGTGTATGATCTATTTTTTTTTAATTAGGCTAAAGGATTCCTCTCCTTTTTTAAGGACACATATGTGTTGGCATGTGCACAGAAGTGGAGATGCCAAAATTTTCTATCCAGTGCTACTTCAGTTCACAAATTATTCCTAATCCAGAAATTCTAGGCAGAAAATGAGGATTGGGTAATTTCAAGGAATATACACATTCCCCATTCTGCAATAGGCACAGAAATATCAATGGCCTGATTCAGATTATATAGTTTGAAGATGGTGGATTTTAGGCCTAATACACATTTATGTTGCTTGAAAATGTACTACACTGCTAAAAGATTTGTCAGGATAATAATTTAACAGCTAAGCAGCTTATGTAAAGATGTAATGTAATGTGGATGATGCAATGATAGGATGATGCAATATTAGGGGTCTGTGTCTGTGCCTTTAAGCAGGGTCTGTGTCTGTGCCTTTAAGAGGCTGAGTATAAAAGGGGAGTTTTTTACTGGAGTTTTCTCTCTCTCATCCCTTTGACTGCTGTAATTGCTGTGTATTGGAATTGCTGTTTCACTATGTGTATGTATTTTATTTCTAGTGTATATTTGTAGATAGTGTAATATAAACCATAATTAAATACAAACCATTGTCTACTGCATTTTCTCCTGGGTTACCTCAGCACAACAAGTCTGTGCATGCTCTGACAAGAGTTTAAAGTTTTGCTATGATTTTTAAAAAAATTGAATGACTTCCTATGATAATTTATGTACAGTAAAGCCCTTTTGGAAATGTGGCTGGCACTTTGCTACTTTTCTAAAATTTAAATCACTAGTTAGCAAATCTATGCCTAGTATGTATCATCCAACAACACTGATTATTATACGTTGCTGAAAGCTTATTTACATGGTCTTTTGAATCTACACAAAAGCTAGCAGTAGATTTAAGTTCACTCATGTAACCATGGGTGTTCTAATTAATTATTTTGGACCACAACCTTTTATACTTGTCCTGAAATTTATAGCCACACTGAGGATGGCTCTTTTCATTTTTAGGGCCATTTTAAGGAAATGATATATCTTAAATTTATATGCACATATCAATTATAGTTTTCACCAGACAGGAATACATCAGCACCAATACAAATTCAACTAATAAACTGTCTGTAAATAGGTAGATGAGAAGGTTTTTTTTAAGGATTATTCTCAAGCAATGGTTCCTAATGTGATTTTGGACCAACTACTTGAAAAGGATACCATAAATGATATTTGTTAAGTAACAAAATAAAAATAAAACTTATTTTTAAAAATGACCAAAATGTCAAGAAATTACTAAATCTTGCAAAATTTTGGCATCTTTGCTCACAAATTATCATATGGAAATGAACAAATCTTATGAAAAATCTGTCATTTTCATTCTTTAAGAAGAAGAAAATGTTTAAATCAGACACCACAGATTAACGGGTGCTGTATGGGAGTAATAAGCCATAATGTCAGTATATTGTTCACTGTGACTTATGTGGTGATCTTCAAAAAATGTCAGTGACAATGTTATGATCTACATGAAAGAGAAGGTTGGGAACCACTGAGGTAGATAAATGGTCTGCTTCATAAAGGCTACAGCTCTTTGGACAACACATTCTTTACACACAAAATGTTTCATACTGAATTCTGAATTCACAGCTTATGTTTTGAAGCCCTCTAGTCAGGCAGTGCAGAAAATGGTAGGGTCATGCATATCTTCAAAAAGGTGCTTTTCCTCAATGAAGTTCTAAGTGAAATGCCAACTACAAGTTACTTTTAAAAGTGAAGATATGTGTCTATTAAGAATTAGCACTTTTCAAGATTTAGTCAAAGTCAGACCCCAGTATCTCTTGTTCCCAAAGTCAGGTATGGAATAATAGTGTGGAGTCAAAAATATTTCTGATTTAATTCAACAAGGGTATATAAATAAATCCTTCTATCTAGTAAAAAGTAAAACATGTAATAAAAAATCCTGGACAAGCTAAGCCAAGCCTAAATGTTGACACTATAGTGTTCATTTTCAAAGAGTGGGGAGAAGAAGGGAAACTAAAGCTGAAGCACCTGAAAAAAGTGAAGCAGAATGTTTCAAGTACAAGTCTGTAGCCACTCACTCTTACTCTCTACATAACTGTTTATTCTTCAAATTCAAAAGCAAGCCATGAAAGAAATCCTAATATTTTCAAACATTTGTGCCAGAATTAATGTTTTGGGTGCTTTAAGGGTGAAGAGTATGTTTCATTAGAGCAAGAACATAGAAGAAGCACTGAACATTTGTTGGAGATCCTAAAGGAAAACAAAGGCATCCCACTTGTTCCCTGAAGCATCCATCACAGAGATGAACTGTGCTGCTTAATAAGCTCCCTGGAAATTCTGATATAAATTCAGCAGCTCCATGTAAAAATGTTTCCATAAGATAAGGCAGGGATAGTCAACCTTGGCTCTTTTATGACTCGTGGACTTCAACTCCCAGAATTCCTGAGCCAGCTAAGCTGGCTCAGGAATTCTGGGAGTTGAAGTCCACGAGTCATAAAAGAGCCAAGGTTGACTACCCCTGAGATAAGGTATAAAGTGGAATTTCAACCTGCAAATCTTGTTACTGTTTCTTTCACTGCACACAAGGGCCATATTGCAAAAAAAAAATGAATGGCACTTAGATTACATTATATGAAATGGAATTATTTGTGAATATTCTTGATTAAACAACAGTGAAATGAATGTACTTACTCCCATCATAGTTGAGTGTCGCAAATTTCGCCTGTTTTTCAGCACAGCCAGCACTGTTACAGACTCTCATCTGCAGCTCGTACCAGGTTGCCTCCTGAAGATCATACACTATGTATGATTTGGTAAGTGATGTTCGCTGTGCGGTAGTCCACACTGTTGTCCCAAATGGCCTGTATTCCAGAATAAAGGAGGTGATTGGACAACCACCATCATTCCAGCCAATAAGGTTCAATCTTACTCGAGTGGTGTTAATACTGGCAAAGAGTTCTTGTTCTTTTGAAAACTGTGGCTCTACAAGAAAATATATATTTAAATTTTAAAAGTTATAATAGATAGATAGAAGACATAGTGACTTCAAGTCTCTTGGATGGGAATCTCTCTTTAATTTGCAAGATGGAATGCATTTTATTTGTTTGTTTTATTCTTGTGTAAGATTGTGGTGTTTTTTTAAAAAAAATCTTTCTTCATTTCCCTCTTTCTCATCTGCTATTCATAGCTATAGTTTTTTAGGTTCTTTGTGTGTGATATTTTGGGGGAGAGGGTATACATTTGGTAGGGGATAATGGTGATTTAGAATGCAATTTCAAAGATTTTCAGAACTAAATGACTGTAATCTGTTGAAATTTAAGAAACATGTGTTCCCCTTGAGACCTCTAATACTACATCCAGTGTGCAAGTCCACATATGGACCCAATATCTTTGTCAGATTAGAAAATGAAAGAGGAATCATCAAAAAAGAACAAAAATTCTAACTAGTTGCAGTAACCAATATTAGAGGCATTGCCTAAGACTTCAGCATTTACTGCATACTGCAGTAGAGATTGCTCAAGAAATTTGTTTCGTTCATATTTTATGGAAAATAATTGCCAGGTCCAACTTTTCAAACTATTTTGCAGATGGGAACTCAAATACTTAATTTAGAATAAAGGCAGGATATAATTTCAAATACCTTTCCCAAGTGTTTTGGCCTCTATGATCTCACTGATACGGCCTGGTCCCACTCCATTCTGTGCTGTCAGAGTAAACTTGTACCACGTGCCACACTTCAGCGTTTCCAATCGATAGGAACGTTCACTAGGGCTAATGGGAAAACTGCCCCATTGTTCACTATTGTCCTCAGAATATTGCAATATATAACCTATCAAAGATTAAAACAAAAACAAAACATAGTCCAATACTGCACAACACTCTGATTAATTATATAAATCATGGAGTATTTCTACATCGGAGAACTAAGAAGAACTTTGACATTCTTCTGCATCTTCTTGGATTTTTTTTAAAAAAAGTTGGAGACGGGGCTACATTTCTAGAATGTTGTGGGTTGCCAGTTTTAAATGTGATTACAGTCTCCCAGAAGAAGAAAGTTACAGCTTATTGAGCAGAATCTTGCTCTGGTTTTCCAATCAGGAACACTTTTTATTACCTTCAGATGATATGCCAATTGCATCCCTTTCTGGAACAAGATGATAAAATGATAGATTACATGCTGGTAACCTCCAGTTCAAGTGTAGCAATGCACTCTGGGCCTTTGGGTTTACTCCAGAAGCACTTACACTGATACTGCTCTGTCTGACAATTCAGTTTGATACAAAATACGAAGCACTAGTAATTAATTTAAAACCCTGTCTTAGGTTTAGGCTCTGTGAGTATATTTACCTTTCTATATGAACTTCCAGTATTTACTGAGATCATCTGAGGAAGCTCATTTACAATTCTTATGAACTGATCTGGTGCTGATTCAAGTTTGTTTTCTATACTGTAGCTGTTCTAGTTTTTTCAACTGCTCTCCTTGCAGTGTTGAGCATCCTTGAAACACATCCCTTTGAACAGGCTTCTGTTGATTACTTGTTATATTTAAATATTAATTAGTTTATTTGCTTTTATTTTTATTTTAACAATTTTAATGCTTTTATTTTATTCAGAGCTGTCAAGAGAATTCAGTAATTAACAATATCCCAAATTAGAAATAGAGAGGGGACATTGAATGTATTGAGTTGAGTTTTTTATATATGGTTTTATTTTTGAATGTTTGACTACCCTAACACCACAGTGTGTCCTGAGCACTTTGTCTTAAGAATTAAAAAACTAATAAAATGTGTTTCAAAAAAAAATTAAATATAATCTTGCTCAATAAAATCTAAATCAAGAATGCCAGCGATTTCTCTATAATCATTCTGGGGCATATCATCCAATGTTCTGTTAACTAAATAATCTCTGATTCATATGGGACACTATTATTCAAATCCTTACTGTCAAGTAAGTAGCCTTATTAAGATAACTGAACTTTTTGATAAGCAAAACTAACATAACCTTCTGTTGGGATGAAATGGCAACATGTAAGGCACTACTTTAAAAAAAAAACATTCTGGCATTGAAATGGAACTATCGAATGTTACCTCGAATAGAGCTGCCTCCATTGTCTCCAGGTATCCAGGAAAGAGTGATGGAGGAAGAGGTGGTTTTGGATACAGTAAGTCTAGGCTGGTCAGGTGGAACTGAATAAGACATAGTTAAAAGGAGAAATTAAGAATAGTTTGAGTAATCATTTGATTCTAAATACATTTCTCACAGAACTGAGGTGGAAAAATATGCAAATCGTATCTGTCAATGTGTCTGCTAATATGACATCTTCAATTAACACGTAGCAGGAACATTCATTTTCCTTGACTATTTAAATATTATATAATTTTAGCTGGCATTCTTAATCATAATTTTGCCCTTGACTTTTCCACCACTACAGTCTCTGCATAATCATCTTTCAAGAGGCAGAGAAAATATTTTTCCAACTATTCCTTTAGATCAGATGTGTTCCCCTTTTATATATGGCTGAACTGCAATTCCCAACATCACTCACAAGTAGATCTACTGTTGGGCTCATGAAAGTCAGAACAATGCACTACTGTCCTCCATCACTTGTATGTCACTAAAAAATAATTTCCATGTCAGTAAGTCACTACTGAGAGCTAACTTAACATGCTTTTTAATATAAAGCACTCCACTGTGTTAACCTAGAAAATGGAGTTTATTCATGATTAAATCAGACATGGATAAGTGTTGTGTGAACACAGCAATTTAATCAATTCTTACAATTTGAAAGTTTCCTGTAATGCTCAAAATAAATCTGCTTCCATGTAATTTATATATACTGAGTCTAATTCTCTGAGCCAAAGAACATATCCACTCTATAGCCCTTTAGATATCTGAGAGCTGATATTATTCTCCTAGTTGCTTTCCAGGGACACACTATGACTTTTCATTTTATATCTTGAAATGTTCTATTATCCTGATAATAATAAAAATTCCTTAAGCTAAGAAATAGTTGCAGTAAAAGAAACATTTTTAACTTACCTTGAACTTGCAAATTCAAAATAATTTCATCTGATCCCCAGTTATTAGTAGCCACACAACTGTAATATCCTGAATCTTCTGCTTTCACCGTATGGATAACAAAGCTGCCATTGCTAAAGATGCTTCTTCGCCCATCAATCATCACTAGACTGGGTGTCCCGTTACTGCCTCACAGGAAGCAAAAATCATACATTAAAGAAGTTACAACCAATATAACTTAGATCTGGGGTTAGTTTTAAAAATCCAAAGGGGAGAGGGAAATGCCTGGAAAGAAAATCTCTCAGCTCAATAGCGAGATTATTCAGGTTCAATGATACAAAACTATAGATATATATATATAAAGAATAGAAATTGAAACCCCCAAAAGAAGCCTCTACTGATAGAAACTGGTATGTTTGATTATTGCAGAACAATCTGAAATTCATCACTGTGATCGATTTTAGTTGCATATTGAATGATGACGCATTGGTTAATTTATTGCAATTTTTGCAACAGGCTCAGAAATAAATGGATGCTTGGAACAATTCTACCCTCTCATCACCCAGCCTCAGGAAGTAACATGAGGATATAAGAATATCAGAAGCACAAGTAGCAATAGGGGAACATGAACTATCCCCCCCCCTGAGAGATTGAAGATGTTATCAGGTGTGGAGCTGGATGGGGGCTAATTCTTGAGAGTTGGAGTTAGGCTCCAGTTTCCCAGTTTTGAGTGGGTGTCTTGTCTCAGGTGACAAAAAGGCAGGGAGATGGAAAGGAAGCAGACCAGATATGTAGTACAGATGGTAGTTTGATGAGTTTAATATCTGAGGAGCTCGTTTGACGCAAGGTCATTTGGTTGACAAGGAATTACTTGCTGATAATATGTGGAGGGAGAGTTATGGTGGAATGGGATTTTAGTTGTGATGATAAAAGACCATATTCAGAAAAGGTGGTAACTTAACTAATTCCTCTCTCCCAGCTCTTAATTCTCACTCCAGGAACCAGGGCTCTAGATCCTTGAAATCCAGGGCCTTCAATTAATGATAATTGAGCAGACCGGCATGCTTTTTTGAAACCAGAGAGAGGAAGAGGAAATTCCTCTCATGGAAAACTACCTACACATGTTTTGGATTGGGCATCAGCCTTGGTCTCTGGAATGGGGCTGCCAGGGGAGGAGGGGTAGTACTGTCATCCACGAGTCTTTGCTGGCATCAAGAGACATTCACCAAAGAGAACCAGATGTGAGATCCTGCTTGGGCCAATTTGCAACTTATGTAACTCCCACTCACCCCCGCTGCAGAGTGGGATCCCTGCCAGGGTTGTTTGACCTGATTCCAGGGAAGGTGGTAGAGGTCTCTTGGCTACTAGCATGAGGGGATTTCAAGCTGCCTTCCCTTAGTGAGGAGTCTGGAGTGATCCAGAGGTTAATGGCTACCTTGACAAAAATGGACATGACCAACTTACTGAGGGCCCAACACACGAGAAGTCACACATTAGAGATTTTTGTCTCAGGGGAAAGGTAATGTGATTTGAAAGTGGAGGGCATGATCATGGACAGATCACTTTCCGACTGCTGTGGAGTTTTGCTGTGCACTCTCCCTTCACAGTGGGAAGAACATATTATATTGTCCCATTCAAGGCATCTGATAGATCCTATGGTTTTGAAGGGGCTCTTGGGAAGTCTCTGAAGATTCTCATGGACAGTTTGGCTGAGATTGTGGTTACCTATTGGAATAAAGGAGTGGGTGGCGAACTGGATCAGATTGCAACAAAGCACCACTCCCTAATTCTACATCCATTGCAGCTCCTTAGTTCACTGAGAAACTCAAAAAGATGCAGAGGAGACCCCCTGGAGTGCACGTCAAAGAAAACCTGTCTTAAATCTGACCAGAAACTAGCACAAAATCACATTTGAACTTATAGATCAAGTGGCAAAAAAGGAAATATTTTGCATCTGCTGAATGTCACCCAGTGGTCCCTTTTAAGGCATCTTTTTTCCATTTAGAAAAAGTTATTTGCGCAGCTTTCTAAAAGGCCGGAGTGAAGAAGCATTTTCAGAGCATTTGGCAGGAAAAGCCACATAATTTCGAGAGCTGCTAGACTTGAGCTGGACAATGCCAATGGAAGAGTCATCTTATGAGGTAGGCTCATTTGGAGGCGGTGAGTCTCAAGGGAGCGAACAGAGTAATTTGCAACATCAATTCTGCTACTTCCTAATCAGATTTCTACTTATCCTGGCTGGTTAAGGCTAGGTCACCTCCCTGAGCCTTTTTGGAATACTCAACATACAAGGTATTTTCCCATACAGATAAGGGAAATAAATAAAATAAATAAAAGGAAGTACAGGCCCCCCTAGGAAATCAGATTAGCACAGGAAATCACTTTTATAGAGAATGTTGAAGAGCGGAGTTGCTGAGTCTAGTTGCTGTCTGTTTGGAACCAGCTGAAGTCACTGCAGCAGACTTGCCAATGAAAGCCATGGCTGTAGACAAGGCAGCTATCAGGGAGGAGAGGCAGCGTGAGCATGGAGATATAGCCGGTCAGGTTTATTGTTGGAGATCATGAGTGCCTGTTCCACATAAGCTTGCCAGCCTCTTCCTCAGAAGAAGAATTTAACAACTAGCTAGCTAGCATTCTGGCTGATTACTTGGTTGGCTAAGCCTTGTTGCAGAGGTATTACGCTGCAATTGAACAAATCACAAGTAAGTGTCCTTATGTGTCCTGGCTGAAATCACTATAGTATTGAAATACAATAGTTTGAGAGAATCTGGTTTTGCAGAGAGCAGAGGAAACTAAAGAAACCATCTTAGTGCCACCTGCTGGTTGAGGTTTATATTGCAGCACCTTGGATAAACATTAATGGGGAAGAGAGAAAAGAAAAAGATAGCATTGACTTTAGCGAAATATTTGTTACTTCGTTTATATTGGTATATTGTTAATACACTATTTTTTAATCTCGATTAAATACATTGGATATCTGTAGTACACATGGGAACAAAAGGAATCTGATTTGGAGAAAAAAAATCTCTTTATAATTTTTCGTATACCCTTTCTGAATTTCTATATAATACAGACTACCCTCAACATGGTGTCAGTTTATAGATGGAAAGACTATACAGCAGGATCTGACTGAGTCATGAATTATTTAATTAAATGGAAAAAAAGCAAATGTGAAAAAAAGACCCTAGAAACAAAACCAGCCTAATAGACTAATCTGTAAAAGAGCTTTGTGAAATGCCTGGCAACAAAAGATTGGCTGAAACCCAGAAACAAATAATTTGTTCTTTTATATGTTTGGGGGAACTCTTAATATATGCAAAAATACACAGATTGTAAATTAAAGATAGGTATTCTTAATGTTAAAACTGCTTGACAAGAATCTGTATCTACATATGTTGAATTAAATACATAGAGAGGTGAAAAATAGTTCAAGTAATCCCAGATTAGGCAGATTATGGATTAATCGGATGTATGATTAAGAATGATTGGAAACTGATAACAAGGAATCACAAAATAACTCAGAAGATGTACAGTACTTTGGACTTTGTATACACTCTGGCCTATTTTGCTATTGCACCTATCTTTTCTCAGACTTGGGGGGGGGGGCGCTTGAAAAAAGATACTGCTTCTTTTAGCAGTTCATTCATTAAAATTAATGCAACTCTTAAAGCATCCATATCTTGTTTTTCTGGCTCATGCAAAACTTGAAGGGAAATATGTTGTTTTAATTAAATGCAGGAAGGTGATGTGCTCATATTCATACGAGATACATATTTCTTCTCAATCAGTTTCAAAGCAGGCATTGGCCTAATAACAATCCCTCTCTTCCTTTTTTTCACACACCCGATGACATGACAACCTTCATTTGCACTGCACACATAGTTGTTGGTTACCTTTCTTTCATCCATTTAACAGTAGGTACAGGATCTCCAACAGCTTTACAAGGGAGAATAATATCCTTCATCCATGGGGTTGTTACTGTGCCACTGAATGTCAAAATTCTGGCTGGAGCTGAGAAATGAAGGGGAAAAAGGGCTAAAATGCAGAATAATATAGCATTCCTTTCTTGAGAGGAGAAACAGGAGGTGGAAGAGGAGGATTATGATGATTATAAAAAATGATTTACTTTGCTTACATAGACTAATTTATTTCAATCCACATTACTAGTTGCTTAGCGGAACACAGTGCGGCATCTGCAGAAAAGATGGTTGCAAAACAATGATCCTCATGATAGTAATGAATAAAAATAAACATCATGTTATTATTGCTTTCTTGCTTGCACTGGAGGAAAACACTAAACATGTTCAAACCTACTATCTGGTATGCTTCAAGGTATCTTTTCATGTGCAGTTATCATGCCCAATTCCTGGAACTTTATTGTGGGGAAAACGTGAAATGAGTTAATGCTTATCTTTCCCAGAAAAAGAAAGATATAAACAGATAGTTTGGGGGTGCTATAGATTTTCAGAGGGTTGCACTTTGAAAAAATATTTATTGGAGAACTGGGGCAAAACAAACTTGTATATGTCCCTTGAATGTTTATATCTTCTTTGTTTCTTTGATGGAAACTTAGAAGGATAAAATGAAGCGAACCAATACAAAAACAACACGCACAAATGGAGGGGGGGGAAGGGAAAGGGATAGGAAATGGAGCAGAGATAACTTTCAATTAGGAATCTGAATGGCCAAATCTAAACCTGAATACTTAGAACAATTTCTAGAAACTTCTTTTATAAAACAGTAGCTGACAAGAGATGAATGTGATTCCCACCACTGTAGGTATCATAGTGGCTCAGCAGAGTTTAAGTCCAAGCATCACTTTGAAAGGAAAGTGGGAACTGTCTATTGTGTGAAAAAGATAGAAGAATTCCTTCAGGCTCGCAAGTTTGCTTGTGTGTTTTAACTGAGTAAAGCAATATATTGCTGTGTTCAGGTAGGATGAAACTTGTTTAAGGGGATACTTGAGGAAGAACCCTGAAACATATTCTGCAACTGAAGATTTTCTTTCTTTACTTAGATTGTTTTTAGATAACTTAGATTAGATAATTTAGATATTATCCATCAATAGACAGCATATGAAGCAAATAAAACAAAGCACTTCTAACTTCACAGGTAATATTTCAAAGATTTGGTTAACATAAGTAACTTCACAAAATGATACTTGAATAATCTGTTTCATTCAACTGAAAGCAGTGAAAAAATATCTCACACTAAATATGAGTTGTTGTACATGAAAAGGTTGGGTGTCCTTTGGGACTCTAACCTGCATTACTGCTTCCCATTCTCTGTTCTTGGCTAAACATGCTGCCATTTTTGCAGAAACTAAATAAATTACAGTACAGAGCCTTTTTTCATCACGTTTGTCTAATTTAGACATGTTGGGAAGCACCCAGCCTGGCAAGGAGGGGTGCAAAAGGGCTTGATCACACTGCTGAATAGCTTTTGGGGAGATCTGGATGAGGATAGTGTGTCTGTCAACCGTCCGACTAGCGAACTCAAAATTAAGGAATCTTCAAGGCTTTGAAGTGCCATAAAAGATAAACGTTATTGAATATACATCTCGGAACTGAAGAAGCAAAATCAGCTCTGGTTTTCCCGTGCGAAAATCTGCCTAGTTAACAATAGCTTTCCATAAGCCCCACCCAGCAAGTGTTCATGTTGCCCAATCATAAGTCTTTGGTTTGTTATGAGAACGGTCCACTTCTCTGTCAGATACTTGCGTTAGTGACCTTGGCATTTTTGTAGGTTCTCATGGTCCGTGGACGGCTTCTTAGATTCCCATTTCCTCCCCATGCTTCCTACCCCTTCCCCCTGTTTCTATGGCAAGTTGAGTAGCAATAGAAGTTAGCAGGCATCTTAGCAATTCAACCTTGACAGCATCCCTTTGGGGCCTATTAGACCTCCCACAAGCTTTAGATAACATCAATCATGACATTCTTCTAGACTGCTTATGAGAGCTGGAGACTGGAAGGAGAGGCCCTACTCTTAAGAGAGCAGCTCAGTGAACTGAGGGTCCTCCTACACTCACAACTTTTGTTAGATGGATTTGTGCAGACCACAGTCATAAGCGCCTTTCCCCAAAACTAAGTAATGTACCAGCTGCAATTCCATCTAGCTATACAAGGATTTATAACAGTACCTCACCTTCATTTGCCCCAATGCAATGTGGAGCTGCCTCAACCAGTCAAAAACTGCAGTTGGTCTGGAAAGCAGTGACCTGTTTACTGGCAGATATTAATTATGAGAAGCACATAATACCTGCACTGCAGGTCTTGCACTGATTGCCAATAGGTTTCTGGGACAACTCAAAATGCCGGTTCTGATATATCAATTATGGTCCCAATTTTATGGACCAGCTTACCTCAGAAATTACACTTGTACTCTTTTTAATAGTATTTTAAAACTTGGTCAAGAATAAGCAATTCTAATATGGAATATAGCAAGTGAAATAGTTAAACTTAATACAGGATCTGGATTCGTGGATTTATTTAGATGAAAGATTATTGAGGATTGTTATGATTGATTTAGTTGTATTGAAATATATCAATTTGAATATAATATGTCATTAGAGGGAAATAGAGGAGGTTTTTAATGATTTAATCTGAACTTTATGAATATGACTTTGTTTTGTGGACAATTGATTGCCCTGCCACCACGTTGTTTCTTAAGCACTTGTTTGTAAAATGAAAAAACCAATAAAACTTGGGGTTTTTTTTTAAAAAAAGAATAAGCAATTCTAGAAATTTATTGTTGTTGATAATTGCGAAGTCGTGTCCTACCCATCGCGACCTTATGGACAACGTTCCTCCAGGTCTTCCTGTCCTCTACCATCTTCTGGAGTCCATTTAAGTTCACGCCTACTGCTTCAGTGACTCCATCCCAACCACCTCATTCTCTGTCGTCCACTTCTTCTATTGCCCTCAATCTTTCCCAGCATTAGGCCCTTCTCCAGTGAGTCCTTCCTTCTCATTAGGTGGCCAAAGTATTTGAGTTTCAACTTCAGGATCTGGCCTTCTAAAGAGCAGTCGGGGTTGATCTCTTCTAGGACTGACCGGTTTGAACGCCTTGCAGTCCAAGGGACTCGCAGAAGTCTTCTCCAGCACCATAGTTCATTGACACCCATCATTATTATTGTCACATCTATTAATAAATTTTTGGATGATGATGGGTATGCAAATGTTATGATGATGGTGACGCTGCTCATCTTTTAGTATATCAATCACCAAGAATATTTAAACTGTTGATTACAATTTGTAGCAATAAGCTACCACAACATTTTTTCAGCCAAGTATATTAAGTAGAAACAACAGCTCATAATGAAGACTACACAATAGGGCAAGATTCTGTTCTAAATCATTTAGATCAGCATTACAAAAACAAAATAAAAAATAAGAGGAATGTTTAATCTCATTGGATTTCTTATCTAAATAGTATATCAAAGAAATTCATTAAAACTAGTCCTTCTGGAACAAATAAAGCAATGAAGATTACTTCACTTTGGACAGGATAATATTATATACATGATGATCCTAACACTGTGGTTATGGTCTGTTCAGGAAAAGTGTCTACTTCTCAGGAGAATTGTGCTAATAAATAAAGTTAAGATATAAAACACAAAATCAAATATGCAATAAATACACAAAATATACAAAAATACACACAAACAAACCAAAAAAGAAAATACTATACACAAAATTAGTTTGGTTGATCAAAAGGAATAGAAGTGAATGAAACCTAGCTAATAATGTTACGTTATACTCCTAGGAGATATTAATCAGGCATAGGAAACAGAAAAGCCGTGATGACTCATCAATTAATTCAGATTTACCACTTAATAATCAAAAATATCTATGCAATCATGGAGATTAAACATATCTTTTTTCTTAAAAAATAGAATGAATGTTTTTCTGTCCTATGGCATGCATTAATAAATAGTTTTTTGCTCTATAAAGGTTTTTTAGCAATAAGACTATCAGATCTCTATTTACAGCATGTTGTTTATAGGACTGCTATTTACACTTCAGCCAGAGATCTGGAATATTAAACTTTTAAGAGTTTCAAACACTTGTGCAGCCCTCTTGCCTCCTATGTACTGCTTTCCTGATTTTTGTTTCCATACTTTTCTCTTTCCTTGCTTTGGAACAACAACAAAATTTACTTAGAACAAAATGATTGATTAAGAAGAGTAGACATGATTGGCAGAAACAAAAGTTGCCACTACAGTATATCTTCCATATGATATACATAATCTAGTCCTCTTGGTTGTAACTTGGCATGGCCTAAAGGTGGATGGTTGGATGGACAATTTTGCCTTCCTTAGAGTAGATAGTAAATGGTTTTTCAGTCCCCATAGCACAGTAATTCTATTCAATTCCATGTTCTGAAGGGCAGAATCCTCACCTTTAGCTAATGGTTCCACGGTGATAATTTCACTGCTGTTGCCCCTTCCTGCAGCTGTTACAGCCACAACCCAGACACTGTATTGTCGATTCCGGCTCAAATTAGGGATTCTGTAGGAAAATGAGTCAGGAGAAGCTTCAAATTCGCTGATTACCTGTGATAGGAAAGACAAATATTTCCAAAAAAAAGTAAACAATATACATACATCGAAAGAGAGAGAAAGACCTGACATCTCAAACCAGACATAGGATGAAAAGCATGATAGCAGATTTTACAATAGCAAGCTAACACCAATCAGGGTTTTTTAATGGTTTAATTCTATTTTGTATCACTGTCTAAGCATACGTGTATATAAATTTAGCCTATTTTAAAAAGTCAGTACTGGCAACGAGGGCAATATACTGGCACTGTGGTTCATTTCTTTGACAGTAAAGATCAATCCTAGATGTGTGGTGACTGGTTAGAAAAATGTTAAAACAGTAATGAATCGGTCTCAATCACATTTACCTGGGTACTTGCTGCAACTCAAAATAAAAGTAATTCTAGCTGAGCCATTTATTTTTTCTTCCCTAGCTGTCAAAATCATATAGAAACATTTTGTCAGTGGCCTACTGGCCTTTGTGTAAAATTACATTATCTTGACAAATCAACACAAGTCTTGAGAGAAATCTGGAGGAATGCCTAGATAATGATATCTTTTAAAGAAAAAAAAAATTAAAATACTGCAGTTTCGCAGAAATAATCAAACTAGAGAATCTAAATAGAGCAGCAATTAATGCAGCTAAAATATTTAAAAGTTTGAACAATCATACAGGTAGTCTTCGACTTATGACCACAATTGAGCCCCCTGTTGCTAAGTGAGACATTTGTTGAGTGAGTTTTGCCCCATTTTGTGACCTTGCTTTCCACAGTTGTTAAGTGAATCACAGCAGATGTTAAATTAGTAACATGGTTGTTAAGTGAATCTGGCTTCCCCATTGTCAGAAGGTCAGAAAAGGTGATCACATGACCCCGAGACACTGCAACCATCATAAGTATGAGTCAGTTACCAAGCATCTGAATTTTGATCACATGACCACAAAGATGCTATAACAGGTGTGTGAAAAATGGTCATAAGTCCCCTTTTTCAGTGCTGTTGTAACTTTGAATGGTCACTAAATGAACTGCTGTAACTCGAGGATTTGGTTTTGGCTTTTATGAACATTATGAGGATTTGGTTTTGGCTTTTATGAAATTCAAACAAACCAAATAGGAACAAAAATTGGGATGTATAAAAGGTTTTGAAGTTGAACTGAATTTAAAATGCCCCATTTTGAACTCAAAGCAGTTATTTTCCATTGGAAATGGGTTGATTTGACCATCTGCAAATGTTTCAAGCAGAAAACAGCCCTCTCCAGGTTTTGAAATATATTCCCAGCTTGTACAAAATAGCCAGGCCTTGAAGACTAACAGTTGTTTCAAATGTGAAACAAAGTTTTTGGAATTTGAAGTGATTTGAATTTGATATACAGGTAGTTCTTGACTTACGACCACAGTTGAGCCCAACATTTCTGTTGCTAAGTGAGACATTTGTTAAGTGAGTTTTGCTCCATTTTATGACTTTTCTTGCCACAGTTATTCAGTGAATCACTGCAGTTGTTAAGTTAGTAACATGGTTGTTAAGTGAATCTGGCTTCTCCATTGACTTTGCTTGTCAGAAGGCTGTCAAAGGTGATCACATGACCCCAGGACACTGCAACCGTCATAAATATGAACCAGTTGCCAAGCATCTGAATTTTGATCACATGACCGTGGGGATGCTGTAATGGTTGTAAGTGTGGAAAATGGTCATAAGTCACTTTTATCAATGCCGTTGTAACTTCTAATGGTCACTAAATGAACTGTTGCAAGTTAAGGACTACCTGTACTCTTGGATACATGTGGATAAAAACATCAAACAAATATGATGTTGAAAATGGTTCATAATATTGAAAGCTACAGAAAAGTTCTTGCAGCCAAAGGTGGAAAAAGCTTATTAAAATATTAGTTTGGAAACAATAAGCATTCAGCTATTGAAAGTATTCTATAGTGTCTAATTTCTTTATAATATACCAGCTCCATTGAAATGTAATACTGTATGTTGTACCTAGTAAACCTGATATTAAATAGGGATAGTAGTGTCACCTAGTGGCCATTTTGAAGCAGGACAATCACCTTCTTAAGATTTGAAACTTCAAAACCATAATGAAGATACTCTGTCAAAAACACTGGGTCATAATAAATCAGCAATAAATTAGGACTGTAAAACCAACAGACAGTTCAATTTTAGCCTAACTAACCATAAATAATTTTAATTTAAATAGTAAATTAAATTGTTATTTTAATTTATTTCATCTAAATTAATGTAATACAAAAACAAGATCCTTTGATGTGATTTGGGTTCTCATTGCACTAAACGATAATGCATGTGGTTTAGATGGAGAAAATAATGAGCCATGAGTTGCTCAAGAACACTTATTGTAATTCATAATTTAGAAATCTCAATGGCTGCACTCACCCAAGTTGCTAAACTACATTATGGCTTAGTGTAGGGTGTAAACACAAGCACTAGTTAACAAATTCTAGATCCTTAGAATGCTTTTGGGAAGGAAATGGCAGATGAAGATTGCTCCATGAAAAGTGGACCCAATGACCAAGGTGAAATGAAGAGCCAGCAAGTAGATCAGTTCTTTGATAATTCCTCTCCAGACAAGGAGAGGACATGAGATCACTCACAAATGAGGCTTCCAAAATCACACACAAACAGGCTCTGGGAAAGAAGTCTTGCTGAGAAGGGGAACTGCTTTGGATAGGCTATGCGAGCCTCTCAACAACAGGAGAAAAATGCCTGAAGGTGTGCATGGCAGACCCTCAGGAGAACAGGGTAGTGGGGGGCAATCACGCTATTTCTCAAGGCTCACTTACTTTGGAGAGATGGCAATTCTAAGTAGCAGTTGATGTACAGGCTTAGTGGGGTGGCTGCTGAAGGCCCTTGGCCTATACTTCAGGCCTAGCCTCAGTGCAACCCCCAAGTACTGCTGTGCAGAGTGGCCTAGATGGAGGGAAGATAGGCAGGGGGGCAGTGGTGGGATTCAAATATGTGAACAACCGGTTCTCTGTGTGGATGCCACTTCCGGAAGTCCATTCTGGGCTTGGGCAACAAAAAGTTAGCTACCGGTTCTGCCGAAGTGGTGTGAACTGGCTGAATCCCACCACTGCAGGTGTGGGAACTTGCAGTGTGTCTGCAGCCGAATTGTATCATGTGACCAAGGGGGTGCTGCAACGGCCGTAACTTTGGGCATGGGTCCTTCACTCCATTCAGCATCACCATAATTTTGAACAGTCATGGAACAAATGGTCATTAAGTGAGGACTACTTGTAACTTATTGTAATGAAGTTGGGAAGTCACTTCTTAATACAATTCTTTTTCGTTTGTTGATATATTATTTTCTTCTTTCCTTTCGATTTATCTGGTTTTTTTTCTTCCTTTCTTGTCTTTTCTGCACCTTCTACTTTTTATTTTATTCTTTCTTTTTTTTCATTTTGTATTAGCTTACACCATGGGTTCTCAATCTTTTCTTCATCATGGATCCCCTTTAAATACTTTTTGTGGCCACAGTCCATGGCCACAGACCCCCAAGACTTAACTCAAGATTTAAATCATAGCATTTCTTCAAGCCTTGGCAGACCCCCTGTGGCAACATTGCGGGTCCCCAGGGGTCCACGGACCACAGATTAAGAACCATTTGCTTACACTATTCTAATAACCATGTTTAATAAGGGTACATTAAAAAAAATTCCAGATGTTTTTGCATTAATGTGCTCACCATTGTTTGAATAATACTGTACAATGCTACATGACATTAAGTAGATAGTGAAAACAATTTATTTAGAAACACTATCGTTTGTTCTCTTCTCTTATTGAAAAAATATACAGATCGACTGGAATTAGCTTCCAGATTGCAAAAATGTAGAAGTTTTCATAACAGACTAGATTTTCAGTATCATCCCATCCAATGAATTTCAACTCAGACATAAATTCCACATAGTTGAGAATAGTTTGATTCTAAGACATGGTTTTACGATAAGAGCTGAAAAGTGTTTTTGATTCATTTCGGAATTGTCTAGGATTCTGTCTTCAACAGTAGCAAATGGATTTCATAGAAATACCAGGCAGAAACAGTCATTTCTTATTAACCTTCTGGTATCTGGTTTAGGACACAGTCTTAAAACAAATCTGTTGTTCTTTGACTATTGGCAATTTACTTTGCAAACCTATAGTGAGTCCTGCATATATCTACTCAGAAGTAAGTCCTAATGAGGTAAATGGGACTTACTCCTAGACAATGCATATACAATCCAGACTCCGATTTAGCAGACATTTGATGGGTTGCAATGTCCCTCTTGCTACCAAAATCCAAATAAACTCTAAATAATCAACGGAATACAAGTCAGTAGTTTTGGCCCATGTGACCTATTGGTAACTTACTGTGGGATATGGATGAGAGCAGAATACAGTATATTTTCGGATGACACCATTTAATTTGATGGGAGGCAGCCAAGATACAAACACAGTAGAAGCTGATGCTGCAGCTGCTTTAACTCCAGCAGGAGGACCTGGAACTATAAGAACAACAGATGTGGCTGTTGAAATAGGAGAAATAATTCAGTGCATATTGTTCAGTGCAAAGTGTAGCAAATCTAATAGGACAGGCATAGCTATCTCAATCATACAAACCATCTCACGACAAATTCTTGCAACAACCAATAAACCAGTATGAAATATTTTAAGCAGCTGAAAAGTAAGATCAAAGCCAATGTTAGGGTGCACTTTTTTGATCAGTCACTGTGACCAAATTGGAGATGGCAAAGCATCTTTCATACTGAATACAACAGCCTTATAAATACTTATTTATGTGATTTATTTACTAATCAAATCTGTATCTTTCCTCCCATTCAGGAAACTCCAAACAATATACATAGTGCTTCCTCCTCCTATTATTCTTCACAACAAGAACAAGCCTGCGAGGTAGGCTGGGCTGAGAGAGATGGATCAACCCAAAGTCACTTTGGGAAAATGGGGCTCCCTTGCATCCCCAAAACCAAGCATCTGTATGTGCTGGAGTGACTGTGAACCATCCAGACCTATAGTGCAGAACCTTCTTTTTCTTCCCACCTGGCTCTCATTCATTTCTAGCCTACCTCGGACAGGAGAAGAGCCAAACAGAATACTGTCAGAATCTGCTTCAATACCTGTCTTGACTTTTAAACATCTACAATAGTGCCAGTGCACGTTCAGGCTTTAAGTTGTTCTTTTGTAAACCTCAGCAGTATGCTGAATGTTTTTCCAACTTAGCTATCTCTTATTGCCTAGAAGGAAATGGAAATTATTTTTGAATGGTTTTCTTAATTTCCATAACCATGGCATTAATTTTAAGAAATGATCAAAGAGTCCTGAAATAATGTAAGGTTTGCCTCTTGAAACTTAAAAATGGTGTTGCTAGTGATGAAATATACTTGCAACAGGAAGACTTTAAGAGAAATTTGCACCATTTGAGAGAGTCTCTAAAAGTCATGGATGCATAAAGCTGTTGGGATCATTCAAAAATAGTTGCACCTTAACTGAAAAGTTCCTTTGTTTTTTAGTGGCTTATGAAACCATGTTCAATGCTCAACAAATATATAAATGTGTGTCTCTGTATGTTTGTTTCTTAGCATATGAAGAAATCGCTCTAGTAAATCATTAACTTTAGTTTCATATCAAACAATGAATAAGACATAGATCCACTATAAACATGATTTTATTATTTTATTTTTCATTAAAATATTAAATGTGTTCCGGGCAAACAGTTCAGTTCTATATCCCTGACTGATTCTTTGGCATTATCTACTTGTGCTGAAGAAAATTCCCATTTATCTTGAATCCAAATAGTAGGCTATAATATTTTGAAGAAAAATCTGGATTCTTTCTTGGAGAGAAAAGGTTGGATATGTGGCTGCAATGGTATTTTTTAGCATCACATCACCTACTGACCACAAGAGGCAGAAGGCTATAGATAGAGATTTAACTCTCTGTCCACTCTCTGTGTATCAGTTTCTCTGCCCTTTGTCTATGACACAGCTAATCTCAAGGCCATTTCCTTTTGCCTTTATTCAAAGGCACACATCAAGGAACTCCTATTATTTGACTCACCTCCTGATGAGAGTAGTTACCCAGATGCTAGACTTGCCTATCACTATCCCTTAGTTCAGGCATGTCAAACTTGTGACATCACGTGACGTTGCACGATGTATTGTGACTTTCCCCCCCATTGCCCGCAATGGGGTAGGCGCGGTTTCGGCGTGATGCATTCAGCTCCTTTCTATTACAGTTGCAAACCTGCTTCATTCCTACTTGCTTGAATTAGATTCTTGCTCATATACATGCACAAAGGAGTGCTCATATACATGCACAAAGGCTCTTCCCTGAACAGAATCAGGAAGCAATAAGCCAACTACACAAGACACCTTCTCCCCAGAATTGTTTCTCCTAGACATTGTTTGGTATGTGTATAACATAATTTTTAATGGATAAACATTCTCGAAGGCAATTTACAAAGATCATATTAAACAAAATATAAACGAGACTGAAAACTAAACACAGCAGTGAAAACAGGCACATCTCTGCTTGGCACCAGAAACATATTTATCTAGAGCACATAACCCTTTATCGAGAAAAGATCCCTTACAAATTCTGCAGCTAAAGCAGCAATTTTCCTCAGTGCTACTCTTCTCAACTGCAAGGAAACTATGGGGAAGAGATTATGTAAGTGTCCAAGCAACACTTTTGTTTGCCTGAGTCAGAGCAGCAGATTTGTATATTGCATTCTCTTTTGGAGAATCCCTCAATCCTCAGAGATAGCTCTTCAGGCAGTGACTTGGGAGACCGAAACAAAGGGGAAAAACTTAATGACAGTTGGGGCCCCCGGCCTACATGGGTGGAAGCATATTCCACCAAGAAGGAATAGTTACCATGATAAATGCAGTCTCCAGATTCCACCTAAAGCACATTGAGCATTTTTAAATATAGTTGGAAATGGAAGGGGAGCTAATGTGGTATGTAGATATGAATTTATGAGATATTGCAAACATTGTCAAATCTCAATGAAAAACTAAATACTGTGGCTACATTTTGCCCTGTGAAGTCTTAGTCTCTCTGTCTCTCTAAAACACACATACACACACATTTTCAGGGGAAGCTGATCCATGTTAGGGAATCAAATCAGGAAACGTCATATTGTTAAGTTACAGGATCAAGGATATAAGTTAGAAGCAGAATATAATTGTTCTTTGTCTTAGATAAAGTGGAATCAATATTTAAAAGAGCCCCTAAAGATTAACTAGAAGGGGAGGGGACAGAATAGAAAGAAAGACCTAGATGTAGGAGGTGACAAAATGAGTATGGCCAAAACAGTATAAAATCCAGAAATGAAATCAAATATGGCAGGCAATGAGCTACCATTCTAAACCGTGCAGGATAGCATCCATTGTTTCCTAGAGTGAGAATAGTTCTATCCATTGATGCTCATTGTCCATAAGTAGCTACCTCAGTGAAGTCAGAAGAGCTTCTACTGCATACTGGTATTTTTGGTGGGACTCTCTGAAATATATGCAGATAATATACTAAGACAAAAGTGTGTAATGTGCTAAGAGTATACACACACACACACACACATCAAATTTAGGTTCTCATTTTCAGAGGACACATAGATATAGTATATATAAATAGAATGTTGAACCATGTTTCATCAAATAGGAAGAAAAAAAGGTTTATTTAGTCCAAATTAGTACTATTTTCTAGACTATTTTGCAACAGCTATGGATCTAGCTGAATGGATCTGTCTATTAAGGGACACAGATTCATTGTTTTAATTAAGGTTTTTTTACAATGTATTATTTCTAATGAATGCAATAACTCAGCTCCCATGCTGTCACATACAACAGCCTGTGGAAATGCAATTTAAGCCCAGAGGATGGAGAGAAAATGACTGTGTTTAAATTTTAATGATCAGTGAAATAAATCCTTAGATGAAAAAATAATTCTATAAATAACTCCATAAATAAATAATTCTATTTATAGTTGAAAAGAAACCCTAGCAAATGGATTAAATGAATATAAAAAATAACATATTTTTTGTTGCAACATTCACTATACTGTAAATGGAAACTATTTTTCCCTGACTTCAACAAAGAATGAGCAAAAACACAAATCTTAAAAATATTCTTTTTATTGTTATTGCAGTCAAAACTTAATTTTATATAAACAGCCATGGTTAATTATGTTTTTTAAAAGACGCGAGTGAAAATGATAAGAAACGCAAACACATACTGTATTGCTACTGTTCCTTACCTTCTGAATTTGTATTTATTGCATAAAAATACAGATTATATTTACTGTATCTTTTTGCCATTTTATGAGGAAAAGAATCTATGTGCCCAAAACACAGGAACTCCAGAGGCAATGCCCATTGAATGTTATTGTAATTCATTCAAATCACATCTAAGTTCAGAACATCATAAGAAGATTTATTTCCAAACTTTCATAACAAATTAGCCCTTAAGATTAAGATAGAATGTGCCATAAACAAAAGTCACAAATTAGTAGTTTATAATGAGCTAGGGGCATTTCTCTCTCTATTTTTATGGCAACATCCAACATCCTGGGTTGTTGATCATGGGGAGAGGTGATGATAAACTGTGATAGACTGCTCTACCCTCACCTAAAGATATATTTCAGAGCAGGCCATAGAGAAATATCTATGTCTCAATGAGTATTGTCACAGTCATCATTTTGTATAATATTTCACTGAAGAGATAAGTGACAGCTTGAGCAAAATCTAACAGTAGTGTTCCATTTCTACTAGGGATATTTTGGGTCTTACCATCCTCCTTTGTCCGTGTGAAAATCTGTTCACTCCTGACCCCATCTCCAGCTCGTGTGAATGCCAGCACCTGGATGCTATAGTTGGTGTATTTTTCCAAACCATCAAGTTCTAACGATGGCTGTACCGTAGTGACATTTTTAATTTCTCCCAGCTCTATAGAACCAAAAATTAATTTGGGTTAGTGACAGTAGCATTTTTCTCCCAATAAGTGGTAGTTATATTGCTATGAGAATAGGCAAGTAAAACTTGTAACCAGCATAGGGATCAAGTTTATTATGTTTATTAAATGAACATATTAAATTTCCATGCTGTGCATTTAATCAAAGATCTGCAAATATCTTGTGGATAAAAAATAAACATGTCAAATACTTTGAAACTACTAATGTGCCATTTTTTATCCACTGTTTATTGTTTAAAGTACACTATTAAGACATTGGGATTAGAAAATGATGGGAATTCATTATTTTATGTTATTAATTCTTGAAAATATGCTAAAAATCAAAATATATAGTGTGCATTTAGAAAAATGGTTACAAAGATCCTTTTTGTTGTAAGGCAGATAGACATATTCCTATGTACATGTACAAAATGGATCTTGGTTTCTTTTATAGGAAACCAAACATTTTTTGATTTAAAATGGATCCAATATGCTGAACAAAATGTGTATTGCAGTCTAAGTCAAAAATTCCATTTTTAATAAGTATCATAACCAACAAGAGATGACTCTATCAACAACTGCTAAAAGAGGATACTTGTTGCTTTTCATCACTAGCAAGTTGCACTTAACACTGCTAATCAAGGATTTATTAGATAAAGGCTGGGTAGCATACAAAATATCAGAGACACTTCTAGTACTTTACTGTTTTGAATTTTCCTCCAAATTTCAGAATGTGCAGAAATGGAACTGTATGTTAAGAATTCTTAACTATTCTGTTCCCCATTTCAAAATTATCAGTCCCTATATACATAGGCATGTTTTAAGATACTGCAAAAATGCAATCATGATATCATTGTATGTATACAATATAGCTGTATTAAGATTTTTAGCAGTGGCATTTTGCCAATCCATAGAAGTACATGCCTGCAATGGTAAAATGCTACACAAAAATATCTTGACATATAATATAATATACTTTTGTTTGGGAATGAGAGTGCACATTTATAGTGGCAAATGAATAATACTGTACATGAAATCATTTTCAGTTCCTAAAAGATTCAATGATTAGTAAAAACAAAGGACAAGCCGACTCTGCAATAGAAATGGGGGAAAAAAAATTCATCCTGGAAAGCATTACATGCAACCAGGAAAATACTGATCTTGAGGAGTAAGGCTACTTACCTCCATCCAAAAGATTAGCCCAGTATATGACCCTAAATCCCTGTAGAATTCCATTGAGGGAATCTTTGGCCAGCGTGGACCAGGTGATAGAGATGGTTTCTGGTGATGTAGCAATGGCTTGGACATTCTCCGGAGGGGAACTAGGAACTGAAATTTGACAGTAATAGATTTTGACTATGAATGCTATAAAAATAGTATGCACAAATTGACTTTGACATTTCTTCAATAAGCCTTTTAGGAGAGAGTGATAAGATTATTTTTAGAATACTCTTGTAACATAGTGTAGATAAGTTGGAAATAGTACACTCTGTAAGTCTTGTTACCTTAAATTCCATGGATTAGGGTAGGTTAGAAATATGTATAAAAAAATAAAATAATATAGCATGGAAGAAAGTTAATCCAGTTATGTTCAGAAGTGTAGCTCAAAATTTAGATGACCTTCTAAGATGTAATCACTAAGAAATGCTATTTTCTTGTTGACATTTTTTTTTCTACGTACAGAGTGGATAATTTTGGAAAGCCAGTTTCCCAACTAGAGTTCTTTAATGTTTCAAGAATATTTCAATAACTACTTCACAAATTGGTCAAGGCACAGAAAATAAAATATAACTAATATATTAACTATTAATATAAACTAGACTTTCAGTTTACTGTAACAGCAAACAAAAAGAGCTCAAAACTATCAGAAACAATGTCTGTACTCAAAAGCACAGGACTTTTTATCACTAAAAGCTAATGAATAAAATTCACGAGAAGTTGGTGTGGTTTTTTTTCTCTTTTTTTCAGAGTCAGCAGTAGGGAATTCCTGCTACGTATACATACATAAATATTGTATACATATATAATCTCTCAGCTGGAACAAAGCCAAGACCTGTAAATCTTTGCAACTAAAATAATCTCTTTGACAAGATGCTGAACTCTAAACAGTAGTGATAGACAGACTGTCAAGAATCTCTCTTAACCGTGTTAGATTGATTTGCAAACACAAAGAATATAGCATTAGGTAAGGTTCTTTAAAGATATTTAAACAAGCACTAAAATATAAACATTATTCACACACTCACATGTGTCTCTATAAGAATATATATGAGAATTTATTTCAGATGATATTTCTTGGTAATTATTTTAAGAGTGCACTAATCACATAAACATTTGAGAATCTCCATCACAAGAGTCCTAATAGTATATTTTTCCACATTTTTCTTTGCTGATGGAATATAGCCACAAGAGGGCTCTCTTCTGCAGCTCTGAAAAACTTGATCTCAATAATCTTAGAATACATATGCATATGTGTGCCTTTTCCAAATAGTGTTTTTCAGTTGAGTTCCTCTTCCATAATTCTCAACCACTTAGAGCATACTTTTTGTCTTTCTCAAGAAATGTCAGTTCTTATTAAAATGCACCTTTTCTTGCTTTGCCTTGGACCTCAGCAAGGCAAGATACTAGAAATTCCATAGTACATACATTGTCCCTCTCTTTCACAAATATTAGATTTACCGGTAATAGATGAGGAAATATAAATACTGTAGATTCTTTGCTTTGTTCCTTTGTGTTGACACTTTCCCTGTCTTTATTCTACGTAGGATGCAAGTAATCCTACAGGCAAGTAATTATTTTCTCCTATGGCCAAATAACACTTGAAGCTGAAGAAATCTAACTCAGGATTTTGTTCCTCCATGTCCTCTTTTGCAGTCTGACTGCAAAAAACGAGCCATTCATTTGCTGATTTTAGCTTGATGGGCATCTGGTAAAAATCAGCAATTCCCAGGATTCTTTGTATAGCAGGATGTTGACTATGCTCAGATTCCTTCTATTTTCCACGTGGAATGAAGCAAAGAAAAAAAAAGTGCTTCAAATTTAAGAATCCATTCAAGGAGTACAGCATAATTAGGCCACAACATTTGATATTGCATTCAATAAAATGTTAAATTAAAAATTACTGTTTTTTCACAGATATTCAAAAGCAAATTATCCCTAGGGAGCAATTTAGGAAGAGAGAGAAATAGCACCCCAAAAGTGTGGGACAGAGATCTAACTACCCAAAATGACTCTCATTATCAGATTGCCCAATAACTACTGCCAGATTATAGCACGTACACTGATGCTTAAATGTGATCCTATTTTCTAAAAATATAAAATAACATATAAATTCTGTGCATCCTCAATATAAAAAAAATGTTTTCAAGTTTAGTACCTACCATCCTCAAGAGTAGTAGTGATAATTTCTTGAGAAGATGGTCCTATTCCAGCTCGATTACATGCCTGCACAACCATGCCATATTGTGTGAATTTTTTAAGGTTATCTAAGGTATAAATTTCACTGTCTCCAGTAGTATCAATACTGATGATGTTGAACTGGAAATTGCCTCCTGCGCTGTATTCCCGATAACCAATCTGATAACCACGAATAACTCCATTTTGCAAATGCTTCTTTGGCGCCTAAAGAAGTCAGATGTTGTATACACTTTCAACATAATAAAACATTACCGTAATATGTTAAATGCTCAGAAAAATTTCCTTTCCCAAAGTCCATAGTACTAAAGCAGACTGAGCTGAACTCAAGGTTTATGACGAAATTAAATATAAGTTGAATTAAAAATGTAACAACAGCATTTCTGAAGATATTTCCCTCCTCATAACTGAAGCAATCATTACAGTGAAACTTTAATTTTTAAAACTGTAATTTTCTATAATGCTTGCAATAATCTACCCTGAGTAAATGTCCAAATTTAAGTTTTATTGTAAACTTTCTTTTATAAATAGAAATTCTTCTGTCACTGAATTAGAGCACTCAACTCCCTAATGTTAATAGTAGAAGGCATTTTCCCCCTGATAATAAAGTGTTAGATACTATCTTATTTGTGAAAATATTAATTCTATTTTCCTAATGTGGATTCTAATTTCAGGGAAATTTTGTCATGATGATGATAAAAATTAATTATTTTTTCCCCTGAATCAAGTGCATTTTTTACTGAAAAAAAAATTAGAGCAAAGTTGCATTTTCTAATGTTAGAACAATTACTATTACTATGAATCTTATAAATTTTTTTCATTCATTTGAAACATTTTTCAATAAATAAATTTGCAAATATTTATAAAATTAACCAAAATATTTAGATTAAATTTTAATTTAAATTTCTTTGGGTGAAACATGACACATTTGGATTACTTGGATATATCTATGTTGTTTTCTTTGCAACAATTTGGAAGTGGTTGCTATTATTTTCTTCCAGGATGTCTTTCAACTTCCTGGACCAGCATATACTTCCAGGATATCATTGTGACCTCCATTCCACATACTAACCAGGTATGATGCTGCTTAGCCATAGTAGACAACACAGGTGTTTAGCTATGTCAGTGCTTCATGTGAATGATGTGATTTGGAGCAGTAATGGTTGCATGAGATATTGCAGATACAACTACAAAATTTTAGTTACTCATAAATTCAACATCATGCCTTAAAAGGTAGTGGATAGCAAAGCAGAAGCTAAATATTATTAAAGTCTATTGTTTATTTTTTATAAATTGCCAATAATTATAGTGAACCTTTCTTCCTTGAAATATGACGGAAATCTGAGATCCTTGACCTAGACAAACACAATAACTTTCCACGTGAATTTGTTGTCTTAGATAAAAGGCAATTCTTTTCAATTTCCTTTGTTTCTATTCTTATTTTCCATAGGCACAAGAAGTATTACAAAATCATGTTATGTTTTTTTATACTAAATAATTTTCAGTTAATACAACACTGAAGTTTATTTATGGATGTTGTAATTTGAACAGATTCTATCAGGACAACAGCAAGATGATCCCAGTATATTTATCAATGGGTTCTTTATTAATTCTGGGATATTTTTTTTAAAAAGAAGAATATTGCAATTATACTACTCTTTCCATTTTTATTGGTGTATCATGGCAGGAGGACATTGATTAGCAAATATATTAATTCAATGTTAAGAGTCTTAAGTAACTACCCAGTCCTCCAATATATAACAAATACTGGTAGGATAATGTTTTAAAATCTTAATTAGAGCTGTTCAGGTGTTTTTACATGCAGCTTTTAATTTAATCCAGTACCTTTTCTGTAGAAAATAAGCTTGGTTAAAGACTATACTACAGGTTATGGTATTCTTGAGTCCAGTATACTTGGATAGATTTTATCATTTAAGTAGGGCAGTCACTACTTAAATATTAAGTATTAAATATTGCACATTTCCCTGTCTATTGAGCTGCTCATTTCTACCCATATACAT